CCAGGCAGTTCGCCATCAGGCAGTTCGCCACCAGCCAGTTCGCCATCAGGCAGTTCGCCACCAGCCAGTTCGCCATCAGGCAATCCGCCACCAGGCAGTTCGCCATCAGGCAGTTCGTCACCAGGCAGTTCGCCATCAGGCAGCACCACCAGGCAGTTCGCCACCAGGCAGCTCGCCATCAGGCAGTTTTCCATCAGGCAGTTCGCCACTAGGCAGTTCGCCACCAGGAAGCATCACCAGGCAGTTCGCCACCAGGCAGCTCTCCCCCGGGAAGTTCGCCACCAAGTAGCTCATCACCAAGGCACATCACCACCAGGTCAAACACGAGGTACTTAGCCAAAAAATTTTACACATCCCAAAAAATGGTACGTGACCAAAACCGATTACATCAGTTGGGTTGGATCGATTTTAGTCAATTTACAGATGACCAAGCTAAAATTGAATCAACCTTATTGGATTTGGTAATTGCTAAACGAAAGCCGATTGGAAGTAGTAAAAATCGATTATCTCAGGTTAAGTTGAGTTAGATTTATTAATTTTATCAATTTGATGAGTTATTATTTTATTAAAAATAATATATAAAATATAAATAATTATTAATTATTTAAAAAATTAAAATATAAAACAATTATAAACTCCTGCATTGCACGGGTCACACTACTATCTCATATAATCAGTCAATCAGCTTAATGATTAATAGTAATGCAATCACTGACGTCAAAACTCTCTACCTATTCGTCTTGCTGCACCTGTCTCCGAAGTTGGTCTACGTACAAGTCTTCTTTTAAGACATTTAGTTTAGCTGGTTAGGTATATATGAATATGATATCACACCTAAAAACATAAAATAACAAATTTAAGAATCAATCATAGTTCATAGCAGACAAAACCAAGAAAACTTGCTTCACTGGCTCAGAGGGGCCGTCATCACTCGCGTCATCAGCTCCCATTCGTGATTAATACTTGGGTTTCGCGTAATTTTTGTGATTTAATATCAATAAAAGTAATATAATTAAAAACTTTCAAAAATAAATTAATTTTTTTAAAATAATATCAATAAATTTCTTCTTGCCTTTTATTCATCAGAACTGTCGGAGACAGAAGTGGCGGCGGCGGCAGACAGAGGAATGATCACCAACGCCGCCGGCCACCTCCGACAACGTTGCCGGAGGCGGAGGCGGCGGCGGGCGACAGTGGACGGCGGTGGCGGGCGGCGGCGAAAACAAATAGCAAGAAGAAGATGATGACAGTATTTTTTTCTTTTATTAATATTATTTTAAAAAAATTAACTTATTTTTAAAATTTTTTTAAATATATAACTTTTATTAATATTAAACCTAAAAATTGCGCTCATATAATATCCTACTCGCTATGCTACCAGCGTCAGGAGTCGGGCCACTGGCCACCCACATAGTTGCTGTTGCAAGGAAAACTCGAAAGCCAAGATGAAAGACAGCGTAAGCTTAGTTCTGTATCCATCTCCAGGTGTTGGTCACCTGGTCTCCATGGTGGAGTTAGGAAAGTTCATTCTTAATCACTACCCTTCTTTCTCCATCACCATTCTCATCCCCACCCCACCCTTTAATCTAGGCTCTGTCACTTCTTACATTAACCGTGTCTCCACCACCACCCCTTCCATCACCTTCCATCACCTCCCCTCTGTTCCTTTTTCTCTTGACTCCAATTCCTCTCCCCACCACGAAACCCTTATCTTTGAGTTTCTCCGCCTCAACATCCCCAACGTCCACCATGCCCTTCAAACCATTTCTCAGTCCTCCACAATTCGTGCATTTATCTTTGATTTCTTCTGCATCAACTCTCTCGACGTTGCCGCCGCCTTCAACATCCCTGCTTACTGCTACTACACGTCTGCTGCGTCCTGCCTCGCTTTATTCCTTTATTTCCCGACAATCCACAGAAACACCACGCAAAGCTTCAAAGATATGGACGCCCATCTCGAGGTCCCGGGCCTACCACCAGTTCCAGCCCGTGACATGGTTAAGCCGATCCTTGATCGAACTGACAAAGCCTACACAGGACTTTTAAACATGAGTACTCATCTTCCTAAATCAAGCGGAGTTATCGTAAACACGTTTGTGTCGCTGGAGATAAGAGCTATCAAAGCCTTATCAAATGGAGTTTGCGTTCCGGAAGCTCCCACCCCACCAATCTATTATATCGGACCTGTGATTGCGGCCGATGATAGAACAGGTGGTGGAGGAAGTTACACAACCGAGTGTTTAACGTGGCTCGACTCTCAGCCGAGTCGTAGCGTTGTGTTCCTTTGTTTTGGTAGCTTGGGTTTGTTCTCTGCGGTACAATTGAAGGAAATCGCAGTTGGGTTGGAGAAGAGCGGACAGAGGTTCTTGTGGGTGGTGCGCAGCCCACCCAACGAAGACACAAGCAAGCGCTTCTCAGAACTGCCGCCGGAACCCGATTTGGATGCTTTACTGCCAGAAGGGTTCTTGGAACGGACAAAGGACCGAGGCCTTGTGGTGAAATCATGGGCCCCCCAGACTGCAGTGCTGAAACGGGAATCTGTGGGTGGGTTCGTGACACACTGTGGGTGGAACTCGATTTTGGAAGCTGTTACTGCAGGCGTCCCCATGGTGGCGTGGCCTCTCTACGCCGAACAGCGGTTAAACAGGGTTCTGTTGGTTGAGGAAATGAAGCTGGCTTTATGGATGCATGAGTCGGAAGACGGGTTCGTGAGTGCAGCGGAGGTCGAGAAACAGGTAAGAGGGTTGATGGAGTCAGAGGAAGGAAAAGCCATCAGAAAGCGAACTCTTGCCATGAGAGATGGCTCAAGTGCTGCAATGAGCGAGGGCGGGTCATCTCTTATTGACCTTGCTAAGTTGGTGGACATATGGAGGATGCGACAATGAATTTCCCTTATCTACTCTGTTTTAGTTTGGTATTTGTGATTTGTGAAGAACTAAATTGAAGAAAAAGGCTCTGATGATGCTGAAGATAAAGATGATGATTTTTGAGGAGGAGGACATGAGTAATAACAAAATTCCGATTAGGTAGTAATTGCCTTTCGTAAAGCATACCGCCTGAGAATTCTTGATGGAACGATTCACTAAACAAGGAAAAGAAGAAGAACAGCACAAGAAGACACCAAAGACGAACCAACCACAAAGAAGAGACATAAGCACAAACCAGAACAAAAAAAGCAAACCCACAAAGAAGAGAGGTTATTGACCAAAACAGAGTCGTCTTTGTGATATCTCCTTTGCAGCGCAGGAGTCTGATTCTGTTCGTCGTCCATTTATGTCTTCCGAGTTTTTTTTTTTTTTTTATTTCAATTTGCTTGAGTGATTCGTGGGGAAGGATTAACCCCTTCTTGTGTGTATCCCGGTTTTTATTTCTTATATTTTCTACTTCTGTTTGTTATCAGTGGACCAAAAAGAAAAGAAAAGAAAAATATGTGGCTTCATAAAATGATCATATCCATGTCTAACAGAGTAACATCTCCAGATTCCAACTAGGGGCCAGAGACTTGCTTTGCAAACTCAACTGGTGGGCAACCTTGTAACCCTCTCTTCTTGTCATGAAGCAGAGAAATCCAGATTGTCATTTACCAAATTCAGCATATGCTCTCAAACATGGTATGCCATCATGTGTCACAACATCAAAATATTTCTGAATTCTGAATACAACCCCAAAACCACTACCACCATTGGATATATAAAACTGCCATCTACTCCACATTGGCTTTGTTCCCCGGATTTATCAACTGAAACGAAGCCTTGCATTGCTTAACCAGAGAAATCTTTCTCTAGCCGCCTACTTCACCAGAATCAAAGCTTTTTTCGCATCTCTCTGTACCAATTTACAGCCTCCCACCAACCTGAAACTGAAACTGAAACTGAAAGTGTTCTCAATGCTCGCCTGAAACTGAAAGTGCCGTGAGGAGTAAATCCAGTTTCAATTCTCTTCACTCCAACTTTACTGCCGTGCAATGGGAACATCTCCCCATAAATGACAACCTATAAAATACATGGGGAGATGTGAAATTTAAGTAGGCCTCCGGGCCCAATGCTTTATAAATTCTTAAAATCTGATATCAAATTTTTGCACCCAATATAGGCCCAAAACTAGGACATATCAACAAAGTGGGAGGGCTTTCCTTTTATTGTTTTATTTAATATCAGTATATATCAACACCAGCGGTGACCCGCACGGAATTGTGGGTACATCTTTTATAATATCGTGTTAATTTGTGGTAAATTCTAGAAATTTCTAATACTTCACGATAGTTTTTCATAATTATTGGTAAATTATGGTAACTAATGGTAAGTTATTTATTAATAATTTATGGACATTTTCTACAAATTTATGATAATTTTTGGTAAATTATTGTAATGTATTTGGGTTTGGTAATTTCTATTATGTAATAATTTATGATTTTGTAATGTATTTCTGGTATTTTCTTTAAATTTATTTCTAGTAATTTTTATAAATTTTGGTAAATAATGGTAATTTGTTTTGGTTATATTATTTAAAGATTTAGGATTTTTTATTTAGCTTATATTAATTTCAGGTAATTATCATCCTAAGTTTTACTAATATTTAGAAATTAGTGGTTATTTTTTACTAACTTATACTAAATTCAGTTAAAAATATCGTATTTTATGGAAATTAGTGATGGTTATTGATGAGGGCAGATTTGGCCTAGTGACAACATGACGCATGGCATCTCGAAACAACTGGATGACACTCAAACACCACCTATGCGATGATTTGCCTTTGCCAAAGTGATGGAGTCCCACCTTAATTAAGCATTGGAGCGCTCACATTGGGTAAAAGCTACTCGGGCACTCTAACATTGTTTCCTTGCAGGTCTCTCTATTAGACTACATAGCTCACCTACCTACCTACCTCAACACCTGGACAACCTCCTATCACTGCCTAGTCAGCTCATAGCATCCAAGCCACCTTTCCATCAAGAATTCTCCAACTCGACTTTAAACTCGCTATTCAGTATGGTAGCTGCCAAAAAGTGCTTCACTAGTTATTTTTGAATAATTTCTAATAATTTTTGGTATTTTCTATTATATACTAATTTATGATAATTCTTGGTATTATATATACTAATATTTTATACTTATTATATGATAGTTTCGCATTTTAGGCAAGTTAACAATTATTTATGGACATTTCTTCCAATTTTTTATAATTATTTTTGGGTATTTCTTCTAATTATTTTATACTAACTTTTTATGATTATTGGTAAATTATAGCAACTAATGGTAATCTATTTATTAATAATTTTTGGACATTTTCTACAAATTTATGAAAACTTTTGGTAAATTATTGTAATGTATTAGGGCTTACATTATTTGATAATTTTAGGTAATTTTCATCATAATTTCTACTAATTTCTTGTAGTTTCTTTAATTTATTTTTGATAACTTTTTTAATTATTTGATAATTTTTATGTTTGCATTATTAGACAACTTCAAGTATAGCAGTCATCAAATTAAAAAAAAAATCAAAAACAATATTTTTAACAAACTAACAATATGTAATAATCTTCAAAGCACAACATCTATAAATTTAAACAAAAACAATTCAATAAGCAAAATTCAAACATTAATTTTGATTATTTTTATTAATAGTATTTATAAAATATTTAATTACTAACAGTATTTACCAATAATAGTATTAACTTTCTACAATTTAAATCTTCATTAAGTATGGATTTCAATATTGAAATTAATTTTCAAAATTATGGAAATTGGAATCATTTTTGAAAATAATATCAATAATTTAACGACTTTCCAATTTACCAAAAACCAAGGTAAATTACGAAAATTTATTTTTCTTATTTAATTTCATTAATTATTTCTGAAAATAATATCAATATAAAGGAATATTTAATTTCAGTAATTGAATTTTTGAATTTCAGTATTTGGATTTTTTTAATTTTAATTTCAATTTCAGTAATTGGATTATACTATATTATAATTTTAATTTCAGAAATTTCAATATTTAATTTCAGTAAATGGATTTTTTAAGTAACTTTCACCAAATCAATTAATTATTTATTTTAAATCGTTATTTCATAATTTCAAATATTGGTGGATAATTATTTTCACTAATTAAATGTTTTATCAATAATATCTATTCTATAATTATCCATCAATATTTGAAATTACCAAAATCAGTAATTTTCAATAAATAAATTACTAAAATTTCTACAAACTTCCAATAATTATGGAAATTATAACATAGTAATTATTTATTAGAATAATTACCAAATACATGAAAATTGACCCATTAGCCCATTAAGAAGAATTGGCCCATTAGCCCAAAGGAGTGTGACATTACATGGGCTCAGAAACTCAGATTTTCAATGCATTGCGATAAAAAGAAAATCCCAAGATCAAATCTGTCATTCAATGGACAGATTTATCAACTCTTAGATTGGTACATGCAAAATCCCATTTAAAAAGAAATCACACAAGAGGATCCTTGATGAATCAGCTGAATTTGGAAGTCAAATTTGGCCAAATAAATCAAGAAATGCATGGATCCAATTCCTCTTTGCCAAGTGGCACTTGGTTTTAAATAGGAAAGGGAGACAAATCCAACCCATTTCCTAATTAACTTTTAATTGAAATCACAAACTGATCACGAGAAGGATTGATTATTCGGCCAAGTTTGGAAGTCAAGTGTAGACAAAGAGTTGCATAGCCCAACCCCTTTTTGCCAAGTGCATGTGTATCTAGATGGGAGGGGGCAAATCCAATTCCTTTTTTAACAAGTCTTTAAATTAAATAACAAATTAAAATCTTGTGGGTCCGCCCCCCCCCCCCCCAAATGAAATGCTTGATTCAGATCTGAATTGGGTGGACTTTTCACTATAAACGGGGATGGGGGGTTTTCTTGTTCGGATGGTCTTTCTGCAATTTGGCTCCCCCTTTCAACCACCACTTTCGTTCGTCTCTGACCGTTTCTGCCCGTCTCTGACCGCTTCTTTTGCTTTTGAATAAAAAGGAGAAGAAACGGGCTGCATTAAGATCAAGGAAGAAAGAAGAAAGGCTCCAATTTTTCAATTGCCGAGGCACCAAAATTGCTACAACATTAACCCGTGAAGTTCTGATCCTTAAATTCCCGTGATCCAAAACACTTCCGCTAATTCTATAAGTGAGGGCATTGCTTTCAGCTATTCACGTTCTAATCATTGATTGAGCATGAATAAATCTTCGTTAATACAAGGTTGGGCATTATTTGTTTCTCATAATTGCAAATTCTAATCGCAGTTTCGACTTTTGTCCAAAACAAGAGAATCAGAGAGTTTTCTTTACCAAGAAAAAAGGATTCTTACAACTACCTGGTTCTCAGATCTAGAAGTGAAAGTAATTGAGGATCCATCTAGGTGATTGAGGAGACTCTTACAACTAGATATTGAAATAAAAATACTTCAAGCAGAATGAGAGTTTCTTTCCAACAATAACTATTTAATTATTACCTTCAAAGATGGTGTGAGCGAATCTCATGTAAATGGCAAACTTGATACTTTTCAATAGAACTGTGGCTTCAGAAACAATTGGAATCAAATGATTGAGAGGAATAACTAGTGCAAAAATGAGAAATCCCGTGTGATCCCTCACTACAAATCCCACACCTGAATTCTGAGAGGAATTGGCTCCGTCGAAGTTAATTTTTAAATGTCCATTGGGTGGCTTTGTCCATCAAAGTTAATTCTTGAGAGCAATTTCTTTTTTTATCAGGCTTCGATTGGATGGTTCATTGATTATCATCCGTTTTTAGCAAAAGGGGTGGGGGTTTCCAATTCTAGGGAAGGTAAGATTTCTAAGTGAGCATTCGAGCATTCGAGCCTCCATTCACTATTAACCAAAACTCTCATCTAGTTTTTCCACTGCATCTTTTGATTTCGACGTATATTTTTCCCCCACTCCATTGAACTTCCATTAGGTTACATTCATTTATCATCCCGTTGAATTCTCTAGTTTGGCTTGGGAACAGTTCTCTCCCACCTCTCTTTTCGTCTTCATTTCTGATTGCGTAGAAATCACCAATAAGGCAACATGGGCCTTGAACGGTTTCAACAATTGTTCTAATGGCATCCCAAGTTTGCCTTCTAACTTGCCTATTTGGGTGGGCGGCATAGATAAAGTTGTAGAAAAATTCCAAATTATTTTCTTTATCTGAAACTAGCACATGAACTAGTCTATCATTAGCACAAATAACATTCATATCACAAAATGTTTTTTCCACATAATCCATAAACCCCCCGAAAAGTCCACTGAGTCAATAATAAAGGAGTCATCAAAAATAAAAGACTGGTGGATAATTTTCCTTGCACTTGTAGGTTCTACCCTGGTTTCCATCAAAAAACATACATCAACTTGGAAAGATCTAGTAATATCTTTTACTTGTCTTCGATGTTCTTGCTGCGTTGCTGGCCCTTCATTCATAGGCCTCT